TTACAGTTTCTAGAGTCTTTGTTAAGCTTTCCAGTAAGGAAGCAGCATGGAAACTATGTTGAAACAAAATTTCTTGGATGCCACTTGCAATTTCTAGTTTTGATCTAACCAAAATTCACCCATATTACAGCATAGCAGTCCCTCCAGGATTCAAAGGTAAGGATCCTCCCGCTACTTGCCACTCTGTATGACAATAATTTAGTTGAAAGGCATTTTAATACTTTAATAAATTGAAACTAGAAATCTTGAAAAATAAGGTTCTCAAATTAAACCTCTTCCTATTTGTTCTTTTTTTAAGGTTATTGAGTATGAATGTTTCTCTCTAATCAGTTAATTACCTTTAATTTTTTAATCTTTCCATAGCCGTTTCTATTTTTATTTTATTTTAGTTCACTTCCAAAGGAGAATAAAATTTTGTGACTGGCATTAGAGCAAATTTGCATAGTCTGTGGTTATTTCTTAATTGTAAGCTGTCACTATCATACTCTTCTTTCATTTTGAACATGGGCCACATTATTTTAGTAAATGAGAGCATGACGATGATTCAAACTGAAGCCTCAAATAGCTGACCATTTATGTATTTTATCTTTTATAAAAAGAAACAAACTGGTAAGAACAAGATTTTTAGGTAATTTCCAGAATAAGTGAGAAGATCATTGCAGTATGTGGCTCATCAGTTTTCACCCCTTCCAGAGCTTTAGTACTGTAAGTGATAATCAATTCCCATTATGACAAGCCAAAATAGTGCAAGATGGCCAGTGCTTACTGAATCCTCACCATGCTAAAAGTCATTTTCATCCTAATTCTATTTAATTGGTTTCTAACAGCTATTAACCAGATTTCAGATACACAGTTGTCTCTGTACTACAGCATGAAGGACTACTTTATAAGCTGAACAAGGTCAGTAGAGGTAAAATACTCATATTACTTACAGACAAACTGAAAATGTACAGGCCAACTCTCAAACTACATGTTGTCATTATCGTTCTGGTCATTTCATTCATGAACATTCCCCAAAATTATGTGCCAGTTGATTTCAGCTTCTCAGATTCCACTTTCATGCCCTAGAGCCTAGACTGCCATCCACCTTTATTCCAAACTTTCTTTTCCCAAATAGTGTTACCTCTTCTAACTTCATGTCACATTCATCTCACATTCTATTGATAAAATCAAGGGGACAATTTGAAGATACCTGCTAAATCCTAGGCAGGGCACTATTACTTAGGAAGGAAATATAGCATGTAATGAATGGAAGACTATTGCTCCTAGCAATGCAGTGAAACAAATTGTTTTTAATTTTGTGGCTCTCACTTTTGTTTTCATAAATTATGTTAAACAATCTGAAATGAGATCAAACTGTAATTTTTTCCATGGAACATCCTGCTCCATAAATATAACAAATCATGAGTTAGTTCAATCCTCTTTGTAAAGTACCACAAACCACTGTTAAAGTCATTCTGACACTCCATCCAGGATTTCAATTTGTTTGTGTAGGTTTGTGAGAAGATGAGTCGACTGTAAGTATAATTTCTCCTTAGTCTTCCTAATAGCTCCATTTCTCTCATTCAGGCTTTGGAAATGGTCCAATTCTTTACAATAACCTGAAACTAACCACATTCTATTACAGTAAAAAGTGACACTATCTTGTTTATAGTGACCATCTCAAATGCATTTACTTTTTTCAGTGTCCTGAGGAGCAAACTCCAACAAATTTAATATAGGAGAAAGCACATATCAGATAAATTCCTTGGAATTCTGTTCTTTAAAATGCATAACTCTTAACGGAACTCAAATATTTGCTTGATATCTGCTATAGTTCAGTTGCTGTTATATATACAATAACACAATATAGTCCTGTCTTTTTGTTAGTCATACACATGAATTCTTACAAGGGTTTTTATAAACATTTTTTTAAATTCGTAACTTGTTTTCCCTTTGTACTGGACAAAATATTGATTTCCAAATAGAGGAGGACATTTTCATTTCATTTCTAGACTATTTCTATGCCATCACCCATATTTCTATTATTTCTTTAAAACAACACTAAGTGGCTGAAACATGTGATTCTCTAAATGTGGGCAGAATTGTGGCCAGATACGTAGTTTTCTTGAGAGTACCAGGTAATTTTGCATCAGCAGGATCAGAGCAAGGAAGGTGAGAATTCTTGACCCATAGAAAGGGAGTGAAGGAGGTATAAGAGAATTTGGCACATGGCATATCTATATATATAGTAAGATAAATAAAACAAGTTTGAGGCTCCAGGGTGCAGGAGGTTGTCAGGTTGAACAGAACTGAAATACCCTGTCACTGCCAAAGAGGCAAACATCCAGATGTCAAGGGAGGGAAAAAAGTAGCACAAATCCCTGTGACAATGGCTTAGTGAAGACACCAACACAATAGACCTCTTTACTCACAGGTGTCTGTCATTCCGACTATGTTGATTTGGGAGGGCGAGCAAGTGGGGTGAAGGAAGGAATGATATCTTTTAAGACTATAAGAGGAAACTCAAGTGAATTTTTTTTTTATTTGACAGGTAGAGTTATAGACAATGAGAGAAAACAGGAGAGAAAGGTCTTCCTTCGATTGGTTCACTCCCCAAATGACTGCCACACCGGCACTGCACCAAACCGAAGCCAGGAGCCAGGTGCTTCCTCCTGGTCTCCCACTCGGGTGCAGGGGCCCAAGCACTCAGGCCATCCTCCACCACCTTCCCAGGCCACAGCAGAGAGCTGGACTGGAAGAGGAACAACCAAGACTAGAGCCCAGCACCCATATGAGATGCTGGCACTGCAGGCAGAGAATTAACCAAGTGAGCCACGGTGCCAGCCCCTCAAGTGAAATTTAAACTGGCTCTAAATCATGTGCATACTTTCATCTGATGTACTGTAACTTTTTGATTATACTTTTTTAATTTCTAGCCATAGAAGTAGAATTCACATTTATAAGTATTTCTGCAGGACACAGCTTCTCTTTTTTGTAACTTTTAATGCATAGAAGTTTTGTACTTAAGATTTTTATAGGCTTCATAAAAAATAAGCCTGTATAACAATCATTAAATCCTCACTCATTGTTGACTTCCAAAGACCAAAGTTTTGATGTCTAGTAATGTGTCCTCATTTGAAGGCATGAGATAGACAAAAAAGCAGTTTCTTTACTAAATATAGAATAATCACCTATCATATTCATGAGAATTTCAAGTAATTTTCAACTCAATATTAATATTATCAGTTAATATTGTTTATAAATTATTAGTTAATATCATTAATATTAGTTTACTAATAAATGGAAATAGGTCACATACAGAAAAAAATGAAAATGTATACATCTATCTCTATTAATGCAATCTTCCTCCCTAGTGATATCTGTAATGGACTTTAAAACACTTAATTATAAAAATTTCCATAGCTCCCATTCAGTATAGTTCAATAAACAAATTTATGATCTAACTGACATACAGAATATTAGGTTCTTTTAAAATAAAATTTTGTAGTTTGGAAATACCCAACCATTGGTTTTCATGACCATACAATATACTTCTCAGTTGAAATAAGCCACTCTTTAAAGAAAAATTATGATCAGCAGAATGAATTTTACAGTTCTTCAAACTTTCCTATCTGATAGGAAGATATCTCTAACTAACTCAAGTAACAAAACTCCCTTCACTTTCCACAGAGATCTTTAATAAAACCTAAAGATTCATACAAAACTCCATTTACTTACAAAAGCTAATTCTCTATGAATTTCTTAGGTTTATGATTCTTCAGTTAATAGTTTTATCTACCTAAAAATATCAGAATAGTTCTCAGTCTAAAATTATAACAGAAAAGTTACCAATTACAAGGGAGAAAAATCATTAAAATATTAATTTACATTGTAAGACACCAAGGCTCTGTGGAAGAATCAATAAGGTCAACAAAACCTCTCAGTAAGTCTTTTACAATTGCTCCAAAGATGTTTTAAACTAGCCGGATGCATCAGAAGTCACCATTAACAGAACCAAAAATACAACCAGCTTCTTATCATTCACAACTCTGGTAGTGTTGTGTGTGTGTGTGTGTGCGTATGTGTGTGTATGAGTTCTGTGAAATACATTCAAATTTTAATTTAATTGAAATTATCTTACACAAGAGCCTTTTATCATTTCTTGTACCTTTCATTCTGAAAAACTAATGCTGATTAAAGTAGGACAAGTATTACTGTCAGCATTTTTCTAGAATGATGTAAATGGCCTAACAATATTATCCCTCCTCTATTAAACAGCAAATGAACTCAAAAAGTCTATCAACTGAGTACTCTGAACATTTTTCACTTCCATCCAAAAGGTGAAAAATCACATCAGACAGACAACATATTCTTTAGATTGGTGACAGGTGTAGAGCAAGCACACCAGTCAGTCTTTATCTTCAGAGTCAGCAGGCACACTCAGCGACAGAGGACACGACTCTTCCTTTTCATTGAAGTGACACACGACATATTATTCCTTCCTCTACACATCACCAAGCAGAAAACTTCCCAAGCCACAAAACTATCTGCTGTGGTCTGAATATCAGGCTATTTATAAAAAAAAATCAAATATGAGTACTAAAGATAGAAGTTAAAAATGAGGAAGAGGAGGAGGGTGGGGGGGTGAATTTAAGAATTTCTCAGGAAGAAGAAGGAAAAGTTGTCTCCATTCTCATACTCATTTCTCCAGACCAGTAAACTCACTCACAAGATGAAAAATGTAGAAATGTAGAAGTTTTTTGTTTGTTTTAGAAGTTAACTGATTCAGGCTTCAGTGCAACAATGTAAGTTAAGGAGCACATAAAGCTTCAGTAGAAATGATGTTAAACAGGTAAGAGTTTCAAAAGTTAAAATAACAGATCTTTCCACTTCCCAACATGCCAACCAAAAGCTCTTAAGTTCCAGTGTCTCTTTTCTCCCAGCCAATATCAAAGCTGAAAAATTTATGACACTACTCAGGGTAAATTCTGGAAACTGGGAAAGTAAAAAAAATTTACCTGCTCTGATCCCAGTTGGCAGCAAAAAGGACTAGAATCTTCCTGCCATAGTGGTCCAGATTGGCCAGGCCCCCAGGGAAGCCATCCTTCAGCGCCTGTTTGATGCCAGGGTCAGTGGCCTTGAAGCTTTTGAACATGTCCAGGTTCTGCTGCCGGTACTCAAAGTATTGAGCCAGGAGGCGGAAGGCCTCAAAGTGATGAAACTTCCTAGCCCGCAAGAACCGTAGGATGAAGGCGTCATCTGTGCGCAGAAAGCCGATGTCTGGCCTGGTGATGACCATGTCCCTTACCTCCTGGATGTCCTGGTGCAGTGTGTCTGGGTTCTCATTGAGCTCCAACCGAGCTTTTTCGAGGGTCTCAGGAGAGAGGCCAGCTTGTAAATGAGTCATTGTTCCGCTTGGTGCAGAGCGTTTCCCTGTGAAGCTGTTGTTGACTGTCCCACCGGGACCCTCCCAGGCCCTGGCCGTTGCCACCACCACACCCTGGCCCCGGACCTCGCTGCTGCCTGTTTCCTTCCCTTGACAGGAAATGCTTCGTCTTGGTGTCCAATCAAGTACCCTGTTGCTCCTGCTTTCCCACAGCTTTACTGTGGGGGATAAAAACTTCTTCCCCACCCCCTGAAACACAACGCTCCACTTGGGGCTCCTCTTCCCTCTCCTTTCAAGAGATGCAAACCTTAGGCGAGCCTTGTGCGCTTCTTCTTGTCCTTTCTCTATCCTAACAAAACACCCCTAATGCCACCTCGCGCGGTTGGGGCTGCTCTTGGTACTATCCTCTTCTCTTCTGAGATGGAACAAAAACAACCCCCACGCACATCTCAACCCAGGCTCCGTGATGCTTCTGCGGTCCCCACCGAAGGATGCGCCTGCCAGGGGTGGCGATGGAAATTCTGATTAATAATAAGGTGCTTCTTCAGCGTTGAGCTCCAGGGAGGGGAGAGGGCGTCTTTGCCAGAAAGAAAAAGAAAGAGGAGGGGGAAAGGAGCTTATTTCTCTGCTAATTCAAAGACGCTTTAAAAAAAAAATAAAGGCATATTTGTGGGATTTTATTTAAGATATGATCCAATTAAGTGGAGACTCTGCAGACAGTGCACCTTGCCCCCTCCCCTGCTGGCTACACTGCTGTCTTGCCAGGTACCAGCAGGGCTTTGGGTGGCGATGACAGCAACGTGGACTCCCCCCAGCCCCACCCCCAACTTCTGCCTTCCTGGGTCCCTTTATTTCAGGGGACTTGCCGCGGGGGTTGGGAAGCTCGCGCTCGCTCTCTCTGGGGAAGGAAAATTTCAAAACCAGGGGTGGGGTGGGGGAGGGAGTTGTGGCGGATAAGATTTAAAATGTCTCTATCATTTGCACACAACCCCAGAGCAAGAAAGAAGAAAGAACAGCCGGCTCCTACCAGCAAACCCGGAGGCGGGGACGCTTAGGCAATGCGGCACTCCCTGGCATCCATCAGCCCCGGCTTCATAGCGGCGGCGGCGGCGGCAGCAGCAACTCCTCTCAGAGGGATGGAGAGAGCAGAGGAGAGGGGGCGGCAGCGCGGACCCGGGCCCAAGACTCACTCGGGAGCAGCCGCGGACACATCGCCCGCCAGTCCGCCCGCAGCCCGCTGCCTCGTCCCGGGTGGGCACGGCAGAGCTAGGACCACTGCTGTCCCAGGTCCTCGCCCGGCCCTGCCATTTTTTCGCCTTCGGGAGAGGAGGGGGTGGGGGGTGGGGAGTGGGGAAAGGGATCCGAACGCCTGGGCGGAGAAGGCCACGCGGGCGGCGGCCGCCTTTGTGCGCCCGCTGTCGACGGGGCGGTGGACGCGGCGGGGCGGCTGCTGCGCGGCGCCGGCCTCTCCCCGTGCGCTCCCGAGCGGTCCGGGTCAGGCGCGCCGCTCCAGGGCTGCTGCTGCGGCGGCGCGGGCTGCTGCTGCTGCTAAAAGAGGGCTCGGCTCAGCCCAACTCCTCTCTAATTATCCCAGCACCAATCTCGCGGCGACGTAAGCACCCGCTCCGCTGGCGCACGCTCCCGCTTCGCTTCGCTCCCTGCCTCACTGGAGTAGGACGGCAATGTTGGTGGCAGTCAAATATCCCGAGCCCCAAGTTTGGCTCTCTCCTTGTTCCCCACTGCGCTGCCGGCCGCTGGGACCGCCAAGGCTAGGCCAGGCGGGGCAGCGACGCCCCGCAGCCTCCGCACGCCCCCCTCTCACCCTTTGTGTGCAAGACCCCAGAGTGGCCGGGCGCGTAGCTGTTGTCGACGGTAATTCACGTTGACACACATCTTCTCGTTCCTGTAGGAGGTAATTCCAATGTGGAAGAAGGACGGAAACATTCTGTACTTTCCGCCTTTGCTGTTGACAGAGATGTTTAATTTAGAAAAGAAGACTGGAGTTCCAGTGCATTGTGTTGATGACTAAGCCCCCGGAGGAGCATAAACCAATAGTGTTTTCAACCATAAAATCCTTGTTAAATAAATTGCTATTGAAGAAGACAGAAAATGAGAACCAGGGAAAGAAATAAGAATGCAGTTGTCAAAGAGATGGGGAAAATAGACACTTTTTGACAGATTTCTCGTCTCCTAATAAAGTAAGTATTTCCGGAGATATACACCATCTTTCCCATAGTTTCACACATCTGTAAACTAGAATCATCACACAGGAGCAGGAGACGGAGTCCGAGGTGACTAAAGAGGTTTGTGGAAAATAAATATTTTCTATTTTCAAATCACCATATGTATTAGCGAACATGTCACTAAGAGCCACGTTCGGCTTACAAATTGTAGGAGAGGTCTTAGATTCAAACTAACTCAATGCAACAAATACTGAGCTCCACTATGTGTTGGGCATATAACTAGATTCTGTGGATGGGAGGATTTCTTGAAGATAGAAATTTGTCACATCCTGATGATTATTAAAGCTCTCCAACTTTGTTGTTCTACCAGGGATTGTGTTAACAAAAAGAAAAAAAGAGTGGTTTGGCAGATCTACAAGCATTTTGTGAATTAAATTAGGGCAAAGGAATTTAGGAGCCAGAATAAGAAAATAAATTAGTTACACACACACACACACACACACACACGAGTCATTCTCCAGGAATCCTTGCTTTAGAAGGAGGAGGAAGAAAATATATAGAGGTGTACCTTTGTGTGTTCATGTATGTGCATATGTTAAATAGATACACTATACAGTCATTTGTTGGTATCCATGGAGGGGGTTGTTCAAAGATCTTTCAGATATCGAAATCTTCAGATGTTCAAGTCCTTTACACAAAGTGGCATAGTATTTGTGTAAAACCATCCTACATCCTCCCATAAATTTTTAGTCATGTCTAGATTATTTATAATTTTAATACAGCATAATACTATGTAAGTGTTGGTCTCACCGTATTGACTAGGTAGTTACACAGGTGGAAAGGATATATGCTAGGTAAAGACACAGATTTTTTTTTTTTCATGAATAATCTATGGTTGGTTGAATCGCATAAAGCAAACCCAAATATACAGGGGACAGACTTTATTTGTGAGTTTATTTTAGGTCTTTCGTGGAATTTACATGATTATGACTCACATAAATTCTGAATATAATACAAACTGTTGGATAATTTGATTCTCCATTTCAAAGGATTTTTTGATTCATATTTGGCAAATATTTTAGAGGTTCAAGAAAATTTCTGTCTCATGTAAGCTGTAGGAAGAGGTTTTAGCCGTCTACAACATCGACAGGGAATTTTCCATGGATCTCTTGTGCTGCTGTGTGTCCTATGAAGAAGGCACTGTCTGCTCTTTTTGCCAGACTATCTTTTCAAGATGTTTGTATACTGAACAGCCTTGGGAGACAGAGATAGCCCCTCTGTATGGAATGAAGAGTAGGTTTTTTACAGCCTTGGAAATTGTAGTATCTTACTCCTGTACAAAGAGCGGGCAGGTTTATTTGGGTTCCCTGAAACTCAGAGCTACCTTGTTCTAGTGTCACCCAATATGTGTGCAAAGATCACCTGACCCTCTTCTCTGAGTACTGTAAAATTAGATTTCTGGGACCAGAGAAAAATAGCCTAATGCTCATACTCCCTGCTGTACAAGAGTGACAAAAGCATTTACTTCTAATACAAGAATTTTACATCTTTTTCTAGCATTGATGAAACTTTGATCAGCTAACTTGCTAGTTTGTAACTAGAGTTTAAACAGATTCATCATTGCACTTAAAATCAGCTCTTTAACTTTATTCTCTGGTGGAAATATTATAGTTTTGAAACAAATTTATACAAATAAATTAAATTTGTTGGCATTTAGTATGGTGTGATCCATATTTAGTAACAATGTTTTATTATCATTAATAGAATTGCTTCAAATAGTTCATTTTTCTATAGCAATATATGATATAAATAGCCTCTGTCATGTAGTAGTATTGTTGAAGAAGGCCAGTTGGTTATATATAAGATTGTTTTGGGGGCCAAGCATTTGATATAGCAGTTATGATGCCTCTTGGAATGTTCACATCCCATATTGGAGTACTGGGGCTGAATCCCAGCTCCATGTCCCATTCCAGCGTCCTGCTAATGTAGACCTTGGGAAGCAGCAAGTGATGGCTCAAGTAGTTATGTTCCTGCTACCCTTGGGGAAGACCTTGATTGAGTTCTTGGTTCTATTTGTTGCAGGAACTTGGGGAGAATCTTTGCTTTCTGCCTTGGCACCAGCTGAGGCAGACATTTGGGAAATCTGTCTCTCTGCCTTAGAAATAAGTAAAATTTTTTAAAAAATTAAAGAATATTTTCATTGTACAATTTATTAAGCACTCTTAAAATGAATATAGTCTTATTCGCTCTGCTTATATATTTGAAATCAGTTCAGAATCCAAAATAAATACACAAAAGCACCTATGAATTGAACAAGATATTTATCCAGAAGACAACAGTGTGTCTGATTCTCATTCAATATTAATTTACCTTGCCAAATTAATTCAAAGCAATATATAAACCACAACATGAGAATACAAAATAATTAAATCTAGTACTACAAGGTGATTTAAACTAGCAAGGAAAGTTTTGTTTACTGCTATATTTAAATTGGATAGAGTGAGTAGCTTTGTTTTAAAATATCCTATCCTTTTATTGTTAAATAGAACATACACTAAGAAAGGGCCACAAAACAGAGATGTACCACTCAATCATATGCTACAAGGCAAACATCTGTGTAAACATTCAGTCAAATTAAAGAATAGAACATTTATAGTAACTAAAACTACTGCAGCCTTCTTTCTAACAAAGTAAGCCACATTGTCTTCATTTTACAAACTAATAAGCTACAATTTAGTTTTTCCTGTATTAGGATATAAATGAAAGTGATCAATCATATGTGATTTTCTAAATTTTTCATTTACAATTATATTTCTGATATTTACCTGTTATTCCATGTAGCTAATTTAGTTGTACTCAGTGTGATGCATGTGATTGCATTTATCATAAGTACTTCAATACATTTGTCTATTCTACTACTATTGGAAATCCATTGTTTTCAATTGTAGACTCTGATAAATCATGATATATGAACTTTCAGGTACATATCTTTTGGGGCACATAGACAAACCGAGGAATGAAAATTGCTCAGTAATATAGAATGTATGCTTTCAAATTTAATAAACATACCAAACAATTTTCCAAATGGTTGTACTATCTCATCACCAACCCCAAGAATTATATGAGATCTAACTGTATCATGT